AAAAAAAAAAAAAAAAAAAAAAAAAAAAAAAAAAAAAAATTAAAGCATAATATTTAAGATTCCTCAATATAAAAAAAGTACAACGAAATTCTCCCCTCAAGTTGTTCTTAATGCTTCAATTAGAGGGTCAAAACTAACATATGATATCAAAGCTAGGATGCCGAAACAAATGTCGTCACCACAAAAAGTCACTCGTAGAGATGTGAAAACGATAAAAAGAAAAATAAGGGAAGTGTAATGCTCTAGTACCCATTACTCACGAAAAGTAACTACACACATGGTCGATAAAGTTGTGTGTTAATCTACCGGCACAAGGTGTGTGGGACACCAACGAGAATGGTGACAACGTTAGGGAATGTAAGGACAGGATAAAGTTTGTTGTCATCTACCAAATAATCTTAGAGGACCTCCTTCTCATGTTGGCAGAGAAGGACTCGAAAAAGTAGCATAGGAAATGATGCAACAATGCATATGAGTGTTGAACAGGTCAAGGAAACAAAGGTGCAGACGTTGAAGAGTGAGTTTGAGGCATCCGCACGAAGGACGGTGAATCAATAGACGAATTTTCCATGAAGTTGATGATGAGCGTCATCGGTATATGTTCGTTAGGTGACAAGGTGGAGAAGATCTCCGCCGTCAAGAAGTTCCTTCAAGTTGTCCCCCAAAATTCATGCAGAATGTTACTTTCATTAAGTAGTTCGACTACCTCAAGAACATGTTGGTTGAGAAGGTCATTGGTTGTCTTAACCTTGATGAGGAGAGACTTCGTGGCTACGAAAACAGAGAGGAGGAGAAATATTTCTTACTCTCACATGGAGAATAGCTCACATAGACGAAAAAAAAAGATGCAACTGATTCTTCTTTTTTAGGTACAGAAGGAAGCGACAGCCAGAAAAACAAAGGTCGTGGCTGCAGCGGCAGAAGAAAGATGAGACTGATTCTCATTTTCAGCTATAAAGATGAAGAGTTCATTCTCATCCTTATAAATGAAGAATTCATTCCCTTCAAATACATAATTACAGTTAACAAAGCTTTACATACATTGTGTTGGTGTGATTGGGGTCTCCAACTACTTCTTAACCGTGATTTTGCTAGAGTAGCACAAGAGACTACATAGAATTAGCAGACACAAGGGTCGTTCCCTCATGTGTCACCGTCTCATTGTAAGACTATTAGGGTTAAGCCGACTATCCTAGTAGTTTATCTATGCAGAGGATAGACTCCACGATGTATGTTAGCATATTAGAGTTGGAATTAAGGTGATATACATCAATATTAGAGTGTGACCATCTAGATTATCCCTGAGTTTAACAACATCTTAGCCTTGTTAACGAACTTTGAAAGACTAACGATTTAGTAAAAACCTTGTGAAGTCTAAGTGATAAATAGTTAGAAGTTTGTAGTATGGAAACTTGAAGAACATGGAGACATAACAATATAATCTAAACATTCCACCACAATTTGATAATCCAAATGTGCATCCCATATTTATAGAATCATGGTTAAGTGTATGAACGGTCCTGAGCTGCATAAGGTTCATTGCATACTTATATGTTGAAAGGAGCACTTTAAGGCTTAGTTGAGTGAAGGCTAGACATCAATGAGGGACGAGTGTCTTGGCTCCACTCCAAGTAGGCTTTCTTTCAAAAATATTATTCTAGTATCCTGGATTGCACACAAGTTGTATTTCTAAACCAAAAACATGGAGAGAAATCAGTAAAGGATTATGAGTAATTCACCCAGATATCTCATGAAACGATTTATTATGGGTTAGTTCGATAGCAATTCATACATCTATTGATTATGTTATGACACTTTTGATGGGTGAGAATGATTTTTGTAGCTGATTTAATATCAATATTATTATTTTATGACATATTACATGTATGTGTTGAGTGTCCAAAATAAATAAATACAAAATTTTGGATCCGTAAACTTAATGAAAATAGTCAACCTAAGTTGTTTTAAAATAAATTAAAATCAAAATTTTATAAATTTAGAGATATTTTGTTCTATATAATTTAAGTTTAAAATAAATAAAAGCTAGAACACCGGGAACTTAACCAAGGAGAAGCTCTGAGTTTGACCTAATGAAAAATTGTGTAAACACGTGGCTGCAACCGTCCACTGATCCAATAGGCGAATTCTGTAATTTGGCATTTTGGGCAAAATGGGAAAAAGCGGGAGCCGTTTCTTTGCTGCGAAGATTTCTTCGCGTTGAGTGGGTGGAGGAAAGTGTATTGATGGGAATTTACCATTCTCTCCCTCTCTTCGCCTCATTTTATATTAATACTATATTCATATTTATTTAAAACTTGTATATTTATTTTATATTAATTATAATCCTCCTTATTTTCTTAATGCTTTTAAAGTAAAGTGATAGACTTACCCATTCAATTCAAAATAAGAAATTAAACTTTTTATATTTATTTATTTTTACAAAGGCAAGATTATCCATTGCTTTGGAAATGTGGAGGGCTGCTTGAAAAAGGAAAAAAAAAAAATAATAATAATAATAAAATAAAAAGAAAAAGAAAAAGGAAAAAGTGAAGGAAATTACAACGTGGGCGCAACCGCACAGGATTACAGCTTTCAACTGTTTTGCACTTTGGATTCACGTGACTCGACCAGAATTATCCAATTTAGGGATATTTTAGGAATTTAAGGCCAAAAGGTAAGGAAAGGTCAATTTCATTGGACGAACACCGACGGAGAAGCATGAAGCAACTTCACTACCTACAACGACACGAATCCCACTGCTCCAAAACGCCGTCGTAACATTCTCCACTCCCCATTAAACTACTCACCTTCCTCTTCATCCCCCTTTCTTACGTACGGCCTAAAATATCCCCTCTGCACAAAAAAAGAACCCATTTCTCCCTTCACTGTTCCACAGATATTAATCCCTCGCCGGTCAACTCCCTTTCTCTCCGATTCCTCAATCTCCAAACTCCACTCACAACCCCTTCATACTTCATCGGAGAATTCATCCCACCGGTGGACCTCCGGTACCAGCTGCGGCGATCCCACAATCCGATCCACTCAACCCTTTCTTCTATTTCGGCAGAATCCTTCCATTTCTCTTTATGTGATCGGACTGCATCGGAAACTCTCAAGGATGGATCGGTCGACGATTACTGTGGGGCCGGCCATGGATATGCCGATTATGCACGACAGTGACCGCTACGATTTTGTTCGGGATATCGGCTCCGGGAACTTTGGGGTCGCCAGGCTGATGAGGGATAAGCATACCAAAGAGCTCGTCGCTGTCAAGTATATCGAGCGAGGCGATAAGGTCAATGCTGTATTGCTAATTTACTCTGATTTTTTACTGCTTTATGTGAGCTTCTCGAGCTTAATCTTTCACTTTCTTTCTTTTTTTTGGTGATGGTTGTTCCCCTTGGGTGTTTTCAGCTTCCATTGCTACTGTGACTTACGGTTGTTTGTTCTGTTCTACTTTTAATCATTGGGTGCTTTCACGACTCTTTTTTCTTTTAAACTCAACACAAATATCTTGTGATTGGTGCTTTTCCTTTTTATCTGTTATTTGGGAATTCGAAATATCTCAATTTGGATTTCGGGATTTGCCTTCCCATTACTCAGCTTTCTTTTTCCTTCTTTTAACTCTTATGTATTTTTGGAAATTTCTTTTCCAAATTGAGAACTAGCTGTAGTAACTGATGCGTATAAGCATGAAATTCATCGCTGATGATTATATATTTGTTCCTTTTCTCGTAAACTGCGGGCGAGGAAGATGAGCTATGTTTTTGTCCAGTTCTTTTTTTCTGTTTTAAATTCTGAAAATTTATATGAACAAGCATGTTATTTAATGCTCCTAGCTCTTTCAACCTTTCTTTAGCTATCCGAGCTCCCGTATTTCAGGCATGAACTTGCTCTATTTCGGGTAGTTGAGTAATGGTTTCTTTGAGGATTGGCATGTTCTTATATGTTAATAATTGAACTATTCAGTTACAAAAGAACAGAACCCACCAAGGATCTTTTGATAAGATAAATCCACCGGAGAAAATCTTCAATGACAATTTCACTTGGGACTTTTCTTTTTTGGCTCTTAATTAGATGGTGTTTTCATTCCAATGCTTTATTGGCTTTTCTCTTTATGATATTAATTTGAATTCGTCACTTTTTTTTTCAATGAAAAGTGTTGTTTCTTGTTAAAATAATAACAATGGTAATAACAATTATAGTTAGTGGGGTAGTTCTCATTCAAAGGCTATGTGGATTATGTTTCTCTTCTTAATTCTTATGAAGCTTTGTCTTGTAGATAGATGAAAATGTTCAGCGAGAAATCATCAATCACAGGTCACTGAGGCACCCTAACATAGTCAGGTTCAAAGAGGTAGCCTTAAGTTTAAGCTTTTTTTTTTTTTTTTTTTTTTTTTTTTTTTTTTTTT